GGCTCAAGATTCATAACAACCCAACGGCCTGTCACCAAGGGCATGGCCTGTCCGGCGAAAGCATTACACAAAAGAATGTTGTTGCACAAGCCCAGTGGCAGCTGCTGATCCAAGCACCTGCTGCACTGCCTTCGGTTCCTCTTTTGGCTCCTGGTCGCAGCTGAGGCAAGGGAAGTGGAAGTTGCTTCAAGTGGAGTCTCATCATTATGATGTCATCCATAGGTCCATTGAGTCCATCGGTATGAGGTTTCACACAGTCGGAGGATAATCCTTACATGATTATTGGGTTTGGAGTCCATCTGGCAATTAAGATGCTGCAAAAAAAATCTTGCAGTGACTCACACTGCCAGGATTTCTAGTCAACTCGTCCTCTGGCACCAAGGGCGCTTCCTGCCAAAAGCTGAGAAACAGGTCAACACGGGAAACAGGTCAACAGAGAAGAAGGGACTTTACAACAGAGCCTTGACAGTAGACTTCAGCTATACTGCAGCTGTATATCCATATTAGATACACCCAGTCGGGAAAGTCAGTGCAACGTCTGTTTGAAAACAAATCACAATGGGACGCTGCGCATTCAGGAGGTCAAAGAAGTCAGTGCAAAATTATGCAAATAAGCATGGGACGCTGTGTGCCAGCAATCATCTATTTCGTTTAATGTTCGGTGTTTTTTGTGGCTCTGCATCTATGCAGTCAATGTTTTAGGTTGTCTATACTCTGGCGATACCCCGGCGATACCCTAAAATGGAAAAAAGGAACCTCTCGCCACCAATCCCCCTCATCATTTCAACACAACCACATCTCCAAGTTTCAAAAGGGGAAAACCCAACACAATCTAATTCCCAATGGAACTGACACATTAGGGAAATTCCGAACCTACAAGAACGCAGGTAAAAAAAATCAATGGTCCAAACCATGTCTTCCAAAACACCAGCTGGACGCAGCACGCACCGACTTCCAGAAATCTTTCCCCCCAACTAAACGCAACAAAGCAAGTGAACGCATTGAGTTTCCAAATGGGGTGTATCTGCCAAGCAGACCTTCAGAGGCTTGTAAAGAAGAAAAGCTATTTGCAGAAAAAAAATCTGTGCAGCATAACAAACTGCATGTACTTTGGTACAAAGTATGTCAGCCTCCTCCTTCATCAAGTCTTTAACCTTGGTTCTCCATACAGCTCAGCCATTCAAAACAAGGTTTAGTGTGTAGGGGATTTACACATATTGGGACCATTTATGGGAGTGTTTAATATTAATTATTAAGGGGATGGGAATAAATACCTGGCCATGCGGACTCTAGCCTCTTCCTCTTTCAAACGCCCTCAACCGGGATAAGGCCTTCCCATCCGGCCATATCTCATAGGATGAAGGGTACTAAAAACGTGCGGTCTCAACCCGCAAAAATATTGGTGCTTGCAAATCATCATCCCAGCCTAGACAACAGATTCCAACCAGTTCGAAACCACAGAAGCACCAGCCATCACCAGCCAAACATGGTGGATGTAAAGTGGATGTAAGATCTTTCCCTGCACTTCAGGGCGGCTGTGGGACTCAGCCGAGAGGCAGTCATGCCGCCAGCAGCACTGCCAGCAGCATTCTGTGGCTTCCCCTTGGGCTGGCAGAATGTGAAAGACACAGGGCTGCTCCCAACACCCCAAATGCAAGGGGAGAAACTGGGCAAATATAGAGGCAAAATATGGCAAAATGATCAATTTACTCAGCCTTGTGGCTATGATTCACCTATAACTTGGAGCAATCCAGTTAAAGATATCGAATCAGAGATCAATCCCTGCAAGATCGCTGCGGAACCATCCTTTCCCACCTGGCCTTTTTCAAGTCTTTGGTGGTCTTCCCCTGCATCTCTTGCCTCAAGGAGCCCATTTCAGGGTCGAGTCACCTGTCTGAAAGTGGTGGATACCTCAAAATCAACATTGACATGAGGAAAAACGATGATGAACCATCAAATATGGGGTACTGTATGGTACTGTCCATGATTTGCCAAGTTTTGCCATGGCCCAGCACACCTACAAGCTGCATCGCGCTTCTTCATGGCGGCCACCTCAGACATGATCTGGGCAGACACCCATGATGCCTCCCACACCCAACACCCGACATCACCCGACCAAACTGTGCAACTTGGTGGCTGCTTGAGTGAAGTCATCGCTCTTGCCATAGCAGTTGAGTCTTGAACACTCATCCTGGAAGGCTGATAATGTCACGGCATCGTCCACTTAGGTATGCTACGGTACAATACCGTAGAGCATGTATGGATTATGTACGTTTGTTGATTTTTCCACATCTGCTGTTGATGTAGAATATGTGATGCATAAATATGCTTTGATCAGAACCAGTTGAAGCAGCTAAAGTCAAGGTTCTCTCTCCTCTGACTGACATCACATGGTTTTCTTCCATCATTTTGAGCATAAATCTTGAGTCCTGTCATCCTCCATACTAGACATCCATAGGATTATCTTGATATGTCACGATAGGTCTCTATCAAAAAATGCGCTATCTGCCGGCGCTATGCCAAATCGACGTGCCGCCCCTTCTGCCCTGACTCTCTCTGCCTTCTTGGTGGACATACAGCGCAGTTTTTGCCCTCGCCGTGAGCTCAAGGAGATCAAGTTGTGGAAAAATCATGGAAGCTATCGAGGGTCTAAGGATAATACCAAATACCATTGTGGTGTTTCTTAAAACTTAAGACCAACATCTTGACATCTCGCCATAACAAAAAAAATCAAAGAATGAAGTCTCCAGTTTCATGGCACTGACAGTTTTAAGCGCCTTTCTCCGTATGTTTTTCTGTTGTCTGCTTGGCTGCAGCCCTTTTCGGCCTGTCTCCAACTTGCGCGGAAAGGCACCCAAGCGCCCTGGAGCCAAGGTCGCCTCGCTGCCCATTGGGCCGTGTGGGCCGTGTCTGCTGAATGCCAGGACGGTTGAAAAGAACACAGTCGAAAGCAGTTCATTCCAGGCCTGTAAAGTCTGCATGTCTTTGCACATGTGCCTTGCTGTGTTCGCCTGGCTTTCGTTACCGTTGCATGCTGCTACAAGTTAGGAGGAAAGGGACTGCCCCCAGTCCAATCTTTCCTGAAGATGAGTAGGATCCTACCCCTCTGTACATGTATATATATATATATACATAATCATATTATTGTTATCATTATTGTTATTATATTATTATCATTATAATTATATCTATGTCTATATATATATATACAATCATATACACACACACATACACACGCACACATTGTGGCCTACAGCAAGACCATTCTCACTGCTATCGCCATGAACATATTTTCCTTGCAGCTGACTGGAGACCTTCAAGATGTTTCCACAGGACTTCAAGCATCAACATATTACATCACAATGCCATATCAAAACAGTTCCAACTATATCTATGCAATCTATTAATGTGGTATATGGTGATGACTTGGGGATGGTTTGTGGCAGATCCCACATTGCCCTGGCCTTCAAGACGCGCTCCTCCAAGGCTCCCGAGCACTTCGTCTGGGGTGCTCCGGGACCCCAGGTCTTGAGCTTTGAAGCGATGTCATCCATCAAAGATCTCAGATTCAGCAGATTCAGATTAGGATCAAATAGGATAAATAGGTAAGGTGAAGCCAAACTGTGTGATTTTCCATATTTTCGGATCTGGAATATTTTTTTAAAAAAGAGAGTCGTTCTGTGAAATGGTAAAGTTCAAGTGTGTTTGTCTCTAGTTGCTCTAACATGCAAACAAGCAAGCGAAAGACAGCGGCCGGTTTTTTTTGCCGGAAGAGGTTCTGTGTGCTCAGAATAGATTCAAACAAACCTCTGTATCACAACCCCCAGGCGGAGCAGTCTGTAGCATTCACACTCCTCGCTTTGACCGAAATGCCTTGCGTAGGCAACCATGTTGGTTTGTGATGCTTCCGCACAGCGCCAAAAGCTCAGGGTGTGGAAAAAAAATCCCTATTTTTTGGGAGGGGCAGCAAAAAATCAAGAAAGCTCGCAACTAGAGCCAAATGTGGCCAAACGAGAACTGGATCCACACCTTAAACACCAGGGAGTGAACACCCTTACCGTTCAAGTGTGTTTGTCTCTAGTTGCTCTAACATGCAAACAAGCAAGCGAAAGACAGCGGCCGGTTTTTTTTGCCGGAAGAGGTTCTGTGTGCTCAGAATAGATTCAAACAAACCTCTGTATCACAACCCCAAAATACACTGGCAAAAAAAACGACTCGCTGACTTCCCCCCGTTTCAAGTGAGACGTTTTCTTTAACCAAAGGGGGAGCCTTTTAAAAAAAATCATGAAACGTAGAGTGGCTTAGGCAAATCCCAGCCAACCTGGACATCTGCGGGATGAAATGTCGCTGCTGGTGCAGCCAACCACAAATCTGATAGTTCCAAACGATGGCGGCATTCTGGAAGAAAATCTAGTGGCAAAGAAGAGGATTGGTCCCACCGGCTTAGAGTATCGGACCAGCAGTTATATTCTCCAGCTATGTGCGTGGTGTCAAGTTCCATGCCAGAAATGGAAGTCCAAAAAGCCAGTTTCTGCAAAAAAAATGCCAAGGGCAGTTTGGATGTATACATATTGTTGATGGAAGATTCAGTTGCAGTGTTGTCGGACCATGAGGGAATACGAAGTCGCAGTCGCGCATGGCCAAAACAGCGAGCACACAAGACTAAAAGCGCCAGTTGCGCCAGTGTCTCGTAAGAAATTATATCCTTCTGTGCTTCTGATTGCATAGGAATGCTGAACTGTTGAAAATCAGTGACATGAAATCGTTCACTGAACCAGAATATGTTGTCAGCAAGGCGGATGTACCCCCAATCGCCGATACATCACCTGCGGCCATGGCGTCGGCAGCCGCTTCAATGTGCGCGAGGCCTGGTGGACGAAGCGGAAGCTCTTGTGGCAGTGAATGGCACCAAGTCAACAGAAATTGCAGGGTAGCCAGGGAAACTGCAGTCAGTTTTCGTTTGCTACTGTTTGGGTCGGCAATGCGTAGCCACAGTCTGCGGTGACCAACCGGTACCTGATGTAGATCTTGCTTGCAGGAAAGATTATGGTGACGAGCACTGAGCAACTTGCTACCAACCCTGATGGCTGTATGTGCTGGAGCCGTGTGAAAAACCAGATCATCTGTCAAAAAGGCAGCAATGGTCGGCCATTGATCTAAAGCCATACTGTAAGATGATGCCACAGGGCGATGCAAATCCAGGTAGAGGCTCTGAAGCCAAGGCTTGATGTGTTTGAAAAGCTGTGCAAACCATTGCAAAAGCCCCAATAATTTTTGCAAGTCAAGTCGGTTCACATGCCGGTGACCCAGAATTGTGGATAGCAAGGCGGTCAACTTGTCCAGCTTGGGTGCCGGAATGCTAATTGAACCTCTGTAGAAATCAAACTGCCATCCTATCCATGTGACTACCCTGTGCAAACGTAGTTTGTGCCAGCTGAGCGGCACTCCAAAAACCAAGCAGAAACACAGAATCAACATTGCTGACAACTCCAGCACATTCATGTCTTGCATGAGCAGCAGATCGTCCACAAACAGCCACAAGGCGTGTTTGATGTGCAGTAGTTCATGCCAGGTGCGGACGAAGAAACTGCCTAATCGGCTGAACCAGTAGGCCGAGAAGGTGGCCTCGAAGGGACAAGTCTTGTATACAAAATAGCGGTCCTTGACTCGCAGTGCTAAGAGTCCACGTTCTTCGCGTTTAACCCGAATCGTTTTGTGCGCTGCATGGATGTCGAGAATGAAGCCGGCCAGGGGCCCACATCGCCCACGAAGTGGGAAGGCAGATCTCACAGATTGCAGCGTAGGGCATTCTGTATGCTCTGTGACATTGCAGTTGTTGTTAATTTTTCATATGGTACTGTCCAGAACAAGACGGGCTTTGCGACCGTCCGCTTTCACAAGTGCCAATTTCCCAAGCGCGACATCAGTCCCCCACTCTTGTTGGATAGCGTCCAATGAGGGATATTCCTGCAACCAGTTCGCATCCAACTCAGCTTGTACCAGCTGTTCCAAAAGCAGCGGGTCAAGAAAGCTCGCAACTAGAGCCAAATGTGGCCAAACGAGAACTGGATCCACACCTTAAACACCAGGGAGTGAACACCCTTACCGTGATCTAAAATGCAAGGAGAGATCATGTTGACCGCTTTCTGGTCCCGATGTAAGCAGGAGTCAAATTTCCCATCCGCAGACTGAGCGAGGAACTGGATCCTTGGGGCAGCAGCCTTGTAAGCTTTCACCCATGCCTTGTGCTTCATCTGGTTGATGCCAAAGGAAGCCAAAAACCCTCAAAATATCCCCATCAATCCAGAAATCCACGGATTCACTAGCATTCACTGGAGCCACTGTCCACTCACTTTGTCGTGTTTCTCCAAGATGATGCAGCCATGCGAAGAAACGCCCGGCCCACCTCGTTGGATAACGGCTCTGTGCTCATCTGGAAGGGGAAAATCTGACCACCTTGGCACAGCTAAACATACCCATCGGCCACCCATCGGCCACCCATCGGCCACCCACCAAAAGAATTGCCGAAGTTTCTCAGCCTCTCTGGAAAAGAAAGCATCGACATGGACCGAGTGCCAAGCTGGTTGGCGCTTCTTGCTCGACTCCCGGTGGCTGTGGATCCCACCTCCAGTCATCGCATGATACCAGTGCCACACTAAGTTGGGCATCAAGCCAATCAGAGCCCAGGCACAAAGGGTATTGCGGGATCACCCATAAGTCCTGCAGAGCACAGCAAAGACTGGTGAAACTGGAACTTCTGAAGAAATGTGAAGCTATTCGACGGCAATTCGACCTGAAACATCCTGAAAACCAGAAACACCTCTTTTTGAAAAGCTGAGAGCGGCACCTGCTCGATGGGCTCCTGTCCTTTGAGCAGAATGTGATCTTTTTCTTGATAATCATCCTGAAGGTTTCAACAATCAAGTGCCGCCATGTCAGGAAGTGCTTGTGGTTCAAGAGTGCCTCTTCAAAAATTGTCACCAGCGCTCTTTTTGACTTCAAAACGACTGGGGGGCCCCGGAACAAGAATACAGCTTGCAAGCTTCTGGTCTCTGTAGGAGAACAATCTATATATATATACACTGGTGACTCCGAACTTTTGACAGTGCGGTGATCCAGTGCCAGTGCCTTAGGTGGCTCTTCTGTCGGCGTAGGCTGTTGTGGAGGCTGACAAGCAAGGACACACAGCAGGGTGTGCAGCATGTGGTTGATTCACCATTGCAAAAGAGAGAACTTTTCTGTCTTCCAAGGACGAACTTTAGGCGTTTCCTGTAGCCCTTGCTCGTGCATTTCTGAGTTATTGCAAGCATGTTCAAAACAGTATAGGGTGTAAAATCGAGAATATTGGGAAATATTCTGACGTTGCAAGACAATCAGCCGTACCTTGTGCACAGTGGCTGCGCTCTGTATTTGTTTCTTAAAGAACTCGCGTGTTGGTGGAGTCAAGGCATACTAGTTGGAACTCACATCCAAATCAGAACATAATAGTTGCGTGCCCGGTCGAAGTTTGGCAACTATAGCAAGCAGTTTGAATGTATACGGAAATAAAATATATTAAAATCATGTGCCAAGTCAGAAAATGTGAGTGATTTGCACCACAAAGCAAGAACACTACTGACTGACCATGGCCACGGCCTGGAAATTCTTGTCATAACAGGCCAGAGTCCTCAGGGATGTGAAGTGACATGAAGTGACATGAAGTGACAGCAGGAAAGCTGGGAATAGCTGGGAGCTGGAAGATGAGGACCGAGGATTGAGTCAAGGTGCGGCCGGCCATCCAAGACTTTGGTGCCGTAGATGCAGTTCGCGCACTGGCCGCAATCATCCTGGCGCCGCACAGGGCCGCACATGCTGTGGTTAGGTCTGAGAAAAGTTTTAATAAAGTGCTTGGGATGGATCCTTGTTCCCCAATTTGACAGGAGTATCTCATGTTTCAATCCTCTGGTTCAAACGACCTTGGCTGTGAAATAGGGCACAACCAGGAGTTTGTCCCAGCACAACATCGTGGATAATGTGATCAATCAGCATGCTTGACAAACCCTTTAAAGAGAACTTGCAATACAGTGATAGGATCACGATCAACTTATGGTTGGCAGTTTGTTTGGCATTGTTCCATGTTGTTCCGGGGTTGAGTGGCTCGTTTCCCGGAAAATCATACAATTTCAGTCATGCGCAAACCCAGTCCCAGTGTGCGCTCAAAGCCAAGCAATCATCGCCTTCAGCTCAGAGGAAACAGCCCAACAAGCCACAAGAAGTCATTTCGCAGGTCACTCAGTGGATAATCATGGATGAAATTGTTGCTTGAGGCCCAAAGAAACGTGAACGAAAGCTAAGGGTTTTTAAGCCTGGAAAATGATGGGATTTTGATATGCTGAATACAGATTGCCTAGAGACCTGGCAGGATTTGAGCCCGTGACCATCTGCTTCCAAGACCGCTTCAAAATGCCCCGGGAGCTTGGGGGGTGGTTCCGAGTGAAAAATCACTGTGTTGGACTCCCCTTGCTGAAGCAAGAGTAACTCCAGCTAGCTACCGCTAGCTTTCGTGAACAGCTCCACACGCACGATGGAACAATGATGTAGTGTTTCAAATGCCAAACAGTCCCTGTACCTTTTGACTCCTTCCATTCACCCTTTCGACATGTCATCATTCCAGCAGGTGCACTGAGCTTCCAGCAATGCGGCATGGGCTGCACTTGGAAGTTACCCATGACGACCTCAACTCCTCCTGCGCAACTGGGGAAACTTCATGCCACATCCATAGGCGAAACGCTTAAAATGCGATAGGCGAAACGCGGCACGGCCGGCACGGGACAATTGGGGCTCCGTAATCTCCAGAATCACCTTCAGTGTATTCTGGCAGGATCTCCCGACTTTTGTTCCTCAGAACACCATGAAGAGCGCACTAAAAATGCTGCGACCAAAACCGCTTTTCTGTTTCGGAAAAGCTGACTTCAAACAATTGCTTGGTTACATGATGTTACATGGTAGTTCTTCTGTATCTTCGGTCAGTCCATCTTTGGAATGCAATCGCTGCCCGGACCATGCTCTTCAAACGAGCAACCCGTAACCCACGGACCCATCACTGGCCACTAGCTTCACACACATGCACCTGAGGCGAAGGTGAGAGACGAAAGTGTGTCTATGTGTGCAACCCAAACAACTGACACTTTGGGAAATGTGTCAGGTGCCAGAAAGAACATCGCGCTCTTGAAATGATGCTTGTAAACATGCACTCCAAGAATTCTTCCTGAAGTTGCTTGAATAGACTGAGAAGTGCAAAAAACAAGGTAGCACAATGGATTCCTCAACTTCTCCAACCATTGTAGAACAAAACACATCCATCTTGAGAGACCAAATCTAGAGCCAGGGGACTTGTCTCCATCGCTTCCGCAGGGAGTCTTTGGCCCTGCCTGACGTCTTGACATGGTAGCAATGCTGTGCAAATCAGGTCCTATGGAACTTTGTATCAATAGTGTTCCATATATATATATACATATACATATACATATACATATTCATATACATATACATATATATATAACTGATCCAAAGAGCACTCCAGGGACCGAGACTAGAATAGCGATGAAAAGCCTAACTTCAGACCTTTCATCCTGCATGTTCATGCAAGTTATTCACATTGGAAATTATACTTGAATAGTCCAGCTCCATTCTGGTCTCACAAGTGGATACTTGGGCTCCCACAATCATTGAGTCCTGGGACCAGCACATGCCTCCAATGCCAAGTCCAGATCCAGCAGGCTGACAAGAAAATTCGCCAGCAGGCAGATGCTAGTCACTAGATACCATCTGGCTATTTAACATAGCCATGGAAAATCCCCATTTTTAATAGGTAAACCATCTATAAATGGGCCATTTCCCATGGCTATGTTAAATAACCAGAGGGTATCACTAGCAAGGGCGATTTCAGAAAGGCTGCACCTGCGTCAGCTTCCTCACCTGCCGGACACCCCATCGGAAGCCGTTCCCTCCCAAGGGTAGTTTGGAAGGTTCATTGGGGATTCAACCAACCCAAAGGTGACCACCCCAATATACCCCATGAATAGATGGCTATAGATGGCTAATAAGCCCCACTTTTAGCGATTCAATCCCCATGTGAATATCGTCCAGTTAAGCTGCGGCCACCTGGTTTTGGCGGTTTGCACTTGCCCTGGGCTGTCATCGTGCCTGGCCATAAAAAGATCATCACACTTTCAGCGACTTTCAGAGTCCACTTTCATTGAATTAACATGAATTTACAACCTTTACAGAATATATGTTTAATGATTTTCATAAGTTGTTAAGTCATTATAGTTTATACTTATTAAACAAAATTTTAATGGTTTTTAATTGACATATATATATATTATGTATTTCTCTCTCTCTCTCTCTTGTCAACAAACTCAAAGCTCCATTGGTTTTGACCAACTCAGCACCGGCCTCTGGCTGGGCAACCCCATTCCCACACGGGACGTTGATCAAAGCGCGGTGGGAGCTGCGGGGTTGGCACTCGTTTGTACTCACCTGGGATCCAAGGACCGACTTTTCTGCACTGAAATGCTGATCAGCTGAGTTGTTTTTTCACCTGACTGGGGACTCCTCAAAGATCAGGCTCAGAGTCTGGCCATTGTGCTCGATGCCAAATTCACTGGTCAAAGACCTGTGCTCTTGGTCAAGACTCGCCACGCAAAACTAAAAGGGGAGCACTGGTAAGCCACGGCAAAAACCACCAGGCGCAGGATTGGAGACAAGGCACATGCAGCGAAATCCAGGCGCACACCCCACGTTCTGCGAGAGGTTCACACTCCTCAATTTGGCTTACGCCGTTGGGGAAATATAGATACAAATGCAAATCTAAATATAGATACAAATGAAAACACTAGTATATATAAACATGGATGAGGAATGATATTAGATACAATGACTACCATTCGAATGCGAACCAAGGGACTGTTCACCCGCCTTGGCACCTGGAGTAGCTGGAGCAGCTGCAGCAGCAGCCTGTCACAATATGTTGCCTTTGTCTTTGTCATTGTCTGGTTGTGTTCCAAACATATAAAATTGTTCGAACAACTAACGCATGTTTATTGAGATGGACTCTCGTTTATTTTGCCCCTTGTGCAACAGCACCCCTGCACCTCTTCAAAGCTTGAAACTGCGGGCACACCACCTGAATCGAATAAACCATTGACACTGGTTGCCACGACTCACCCACCAATCGCCACAATTCAACCGCCAAACAAACAAAATCACACCACCAGTGCGGGAAAAACAATACATACATACATACATACATACATACATACATACATACATACATACATACATACAATACATACAATACAATACATACAATACAATACATACAATACAATACATACAATACAATACATACAATACAATACATACAATACAATACATACAATACAATACATACAATACAATACATACAATACAATACATACAATACAATACATACAATACAATACATACAATACAATACATACAATACAATACATACAATACATACAATACATACAATACATACAATACATACAATACATACAATACATACAATACATACAATACATACAATACATACAATACATACAATACATACAATACATACAATACATACATTACATACAATACATACAATACATACAATACATACATTACATTACAATACATACATTACATACAATACAATACAATACATTACATTACATGACAATACATTACATTACATTACAATACATTACATTACATTACAATACATTACATTAAATACAATACATTACATTACATTACATACAATACATTACATTACATTACATACAATACATTACATTACATTACATACAATACATTACATTACATTACATACAATACATACAATACATACAATACATACAATACATACAATACATACAATACATACAATACATACAATACATACAATACATACAATACATACAATACATACAATACATACAATACATACAATACATACAATACATACAATACATACATTACATACATTACATACATTACATACATTACATACATTACATACATTACATACATTACATACATTACATACATTACATACATTACATACATTACATTACATTACATTACATACATTACATACATTACATACATTACATTACATACATACATACATACATACATACATACATACATACATACATTACATACAGTACATCCATTACATACATTACATTACATTACATTAAATTGCATTGCATTACATTACATTACATTACATACATTACATACATTACATACATTACATTACATTACATACATACATACATACATACGTTACATACAGTACATACATTACATACATTACATTACATTTCATTTCATTTCATTACATACATGCATTACATCACATTACATTACATTACATTACATGACATGAGATAACATCAAACCACATCACGTCACATCACGTCACATCACATCACATCACA